CAATGTTAATTAAAACGATTAATATATGATATAATATGATATAATTTTATATATTAGATTATAATTTTATGTAATTATAAAATTTAATGTTTAAAATAATTTAATTTATTATATAATTAATGTAATTAAAAATATATTAACATTATTAATTTATAAAATTAATTGTTTTGTATAAAAATAGTTTATTTAAATAATTAAAAAAAAATTGAAGGGAAGTGGGTGGCCCACGTGGCTTTCAAATTGACTTGCAAATTTTGTAAAGTTTTTCCTACTTTACAACCCATACTCTGACAAAAGTTGATTTGCAATTGTGTTTGCAAGCCCCATGTGGATGGCCTAAGAACCAAATCCATAATTAAATTTATTTTTTCTATTTTATAATAAATATTTAATAAATTAATATATTCTTTTGTTATAAAATAATTATTAGAATAATAATTTTATTTTATACGGTTTCAGTGAAAAAAATTAACAGTTATAAAATAATAATATCAATAATATAATATCTAAAACGTGATGAATAATGGATAAGAGATTTTTTGTTGCTGTGAAAAGATTCTCTCGATCTTGAAAGCCTTGGTTGTTTCTTATGGAGGGTCCGAACTATAAAACATCGTGCTTATGAGGGGTCGAACTCTAATAAAACATGTCGTCCAACTCTCGCCACGTGTCGAGTGCATCCTTATCCTATGAAATTTTGTAAATGCGCCCCTTGAACTTTGGAATCATTCATTTCCCACGCCCCAATGTTCTGTTTTTCTCACTTACATCCTCAAATGTCAATGCCCTCCTACAAAAAGGTCCTAGAGTTAATTGATACAGAAGAGAACCCATTTAGATTTGGTTAAACGTAATTACCATTTGCAAAGAGCTACAAAACTTGTATCAAAGTACGAAACTGTGATTTTATGCATCGTTTTTATGCATACTGATGTTTCAAATGGTTTTGATAAATGTTCTTTGATCGAGTCGAATTCTTTTTACGATAGCTTATATATCACAGAATAAAAACTTGTCAAGTCATATAATCTCCATCTTTATATTAATTCCATTTTGTTGTTGTATATACATATATGTTGTTGTATACCTCCACTTATAGATTCCGAATGTGTAAAATCTTTAAGTTTAATTACCAATTTAGGGTTTCTTAATGTCTTCCGGCTCAGGGACGGACCTACTAAGCCCGAGTGGGATCCTGTGCACATGCTCAACTTATTCTCGTGAGTAGATTTTTTTGTATGAAAGGTGTACCGGCCTAAACTCTGAAGGTTGCTTTGGGATATTAGAAAATACCAGAAATATCAACCAAAAAACTCAAAAAGTCTTTCATAATTAACCAAAAAACTGAAAAAGTTTACTTAAATCAACCAAAAGACTGAAAAAATTACTCGAAATCAACAAAAAAAACTTAATAGTCCCTTGAAATCATCCAAAATACTTAGAAAAAAATCACTCGAAACAATGGAATTTAGCTAGAAATACATTGGACGACTTTATGCATCGTTGATCCACCTTAAAGGTGCACGTCGCTCAACAAAAATCTTGGGTCCACCATTGTTTTGGCTTGATTAAATTAGTCCCATGTTATGCCCACATCAGGAGACCATGCTTGGATATCAAACAATCTGGCATTTATTTTTGTCATGTAGGGTGTGTATTCTATCTTTTTGCTCCGATAATATGTAAGCTCCAATGAAAAAGAATACAAAGAACAAAGCATTATCGTAAGTTACTCAAAAGTACAGGGTAGTTCAAGTGAACATTGCACATCAACAAGTATCCCTCAGTTTCTCCTTCAATTCCCACATTCACAAGATTCAGACTACTATACCATGCATACTATCTCCAAGATGGAAGTAAATGCAACATGGTTTGGTGTTGGCATAGTAGTAATACTAATAGTAATAGTTGTGTGGTATGGGTGGAGATTTGTGAATTGGGTTTGGTTGAGACCAAAAAAGATGGAGAAGTATCTAAGAGAGCAAGGGCTGAAGGGAAGCACCTATAAGTTCTTATTCGGAGACATGAAAGAGATGGTGAAGATGACAACAGAGGCCAACAAATCTGGACCCATGATCAATCTTACAAACAATATAGTTACTCGAATCCATCCTTTCGTCCATAAAACCGTCACTACTTATGGTAGAATGATGGCTTTCTTTTCCTCGTTTTTTGTTACTTCTTATGATAACTTCTATGATTATTCATTTTGTTACCCTTTAAAATTTGAGTTTAATTAAGTTTCATATTTGTGTTTTATGTCGTAAATTTTCTAAAAATACATAAACTTATCTCTGACGGATGATAAGGGTCAAGATCAATTCCAAGCTTTAAAATTTTACTATATATGTTTGAGTCAATACAAGTTTCAGTTACCATCATTCTACATGACCAGAAGTGATTCTTTTAATTGTATAGGCAAGAACTGTGCATTCACATGGTTGGGGCCGAAACCTTTTGTGCATATAACTGAACCAGCTATGATAAAGGAGATACTGACTAATTACAATCAGTTTCCGAAGCAAATGGGAGGACCATTTTTGAAATTGATATTTAAAGGTTTAGTAGCCGCTGAAGGTGATCGATGGATGAAGCATAGAAAAATAATCAATCCAGCCTTTCATGTCGAGAAACTCAAGGTTTGTTCTTCTTGCCTTACGTATTTACATTACAACATTAAAATAAAAGATATAATCAATCATTATTCTCTTCTACACACTTGAAAATAATAATAATAATAATAATAATATTTTGATAGCATATGGTACCTGCATTTTGTATGAGTTGTGCTGAGATGATCAGAAAATGGAAAGATATGTTAAAGGAAGAAGGCTCGTGTGAAGTGGATGTGTGGCCTTATCTCCAAACATTGACTCGTGATATAATTTCGCGTACAGCATTTGGTAGTAGCTTTGAGGAAGGGAAAAAAATATTTGAACTGCAACAAGAACTAGCACACTTGGCTCTAGAGGCTTTACAATCATTCTATATTCCAGGATCAAAGTGAGTATTTCTGAACAATATTATATAATATCTTTTTTCTTCTAAAATATGGCAATCAAATAGAAAACATACTACTTCACTTTAGATCGTTGTACTATATAATAACAAAATTTTAGATATACGTATCACAATGTGTGTGTGTATATATATATATATATAGAGAGAGGGGGGGGGGGGGGTTCATGGCAAAACTCCTAAAAAATGAAAAGATAAGAAACACCTTGGTAACCATTCATCTGAATGTTATGTACATGTGCATACAAGTAACTGAAGTCGTTTTCTAGGTTTTATATATGTGTGCATGTTATGCACATGTGCATACCAGACAAATTGTTACAAATTACTTGTATGCACATGTGCATACTTTCCAGATGAATGGTTATCAGAGTGTTATTAAATTTTCATTTTTTGCAATTTTCCTGAATCCTATCCAATATATATATATATATATATATATATCATGATATATTTTCAGTTGCAGAAAATACTACTTTATATATTCACTATTAAATGTTGTTTATTTTCTAACAAACAAATTTAACTTGGTAGCTTATTGCCAACAAAAAGGAATAATAGGATAAAGGAAATAAACATAGAAATGAAGGCTTCAATGATGAGTATGATTGATAAACGAATGATCGCAATGAAGACGGGGGAAAGTAGTAAAGATGATCTGTTGGGCATACTTTTGGATTCGAGTTACGAAGAAATTAAACAGCATGAAAATAGTAATTTTAGATTAAGCATCGAGGATGTCATTGAAGAGTGTAAGCATTTCTACCTTGCCGGACAAGAGACGACCAAAGATTTGCTTGTTTGGACTATGGTCTTGTTGGGTCAACACCCAGATTGGCAAGCACGTGCTAGAGACGAAGTATCACTTGTCTTTGGGAAGGAAAAACCAGATATCAGTGGATTGAATCGTCTTAAAATTGTAAGCATATTCATACATTGAAGAAGCATCTTTTTTATGGTGCTTTATTAATGTTAAGTTTTACGATATTCTAATTATTATGTAAATATTTGTACAGGTTAGTATGATCTTCAACGAGGTTCTTAGGTTATATCCACCAATCAAAACACTAGAACGAATGGTACATGAAGATACTAAATTAGGAAACATAATTTTACCAGCCGGATCTCACCTCCATTTACATTTGTTGCTTATGCATCATGACGAGGAGATATGGGGTGATGACGCGAAGGAATTCAAGCCTGAGAGATTTTTCGAAGGTGTGTCAAATGCAACCAAGGGACAGTCATCATACCTTCCGTTCGGTGGGGGCCCACGTATATGTATTGGACAAAATTATGCTTACCTTGAAGCAAAAGTGGCACTTGCTATGATTCTACAAGACTTCTGCTTTGAGATCTCTCCATCATATTCTCATGCTCCACATACTATCATCACTCTTCAACCTCAGTTTGGGGCTCATTTGATTTTACATAAACTTTAAGCAACTTATGTTTATGAAACTGTGTTTCGATTTTAATTTCTTTGTGTTATACGTAACAATAATATAAATAAGTTGTGCCAAAACAATATAGACATTTTTATGTTCCAAAATTTATATGATAATTTGGCTCTATATTTATTTGTTAATTTGATTCATAAATTTATACCAATGTCATAACTGGTATTTCATTTTCTTTGAAGTGTTACAATAGAAGAATCTAGAATTTCAACTTATAGATACATTTACAATTTTAATAACAACGAAACCTAATATCTTTGTTACATGAAAATAAATCGAAAAATAGTTAGTTTATACATTTTAATTTAAGGCAACATTTATTTTTCTAATCAGGTTTCAATCTAATTTCAATTTTTAGTATTATTTCAACAATCATATAAAATAGAGTAAACTAAATACTTGGTTCTTGTGGTTTGTGAAGATAAGACTTTTCCTCGCAGCAATTTTCAAATTACAAGATAGTCATCATGGTTTCTAAAAACGTATGGATTTGATCCTTTTCTGTAACAGTCGTTAAAAAAATCCGTTAAATGAGAATAACCCAACCAATGCTTGCGTTTTGAAAAATCTCAACCCAACTCAACCAAATCGTATAAGTTTGGTCGGGTTGATACTTTGATACATCAACGTATTCTTCTACCCTTGAATATGATGTTTTCTTTAGTCTACTCATAATTTTTTTTCATTATCAATCATTTAGTCCAACTTATCCATACTTTTTAAATCTTAATTATATCACATTCAATTAATTTTCTCAATTTGCATATATATATATATATA